GGTATGTGCCCTTAGTGGGAACCGAACCTGGGTCTCTCTGGACCGCAGGCCGACGCTCTACCCAATGAGCCAAATCGCCCAGGGCCGAGTGGTCAGTTTCTAAGTATTTCCTTCAGTGGAGCAGTGATACCATTAGAGCTCAGGGAAATATGACTACTTGGTACTCAAGATCTAAGGAAAGCAAGCAGGAGACAGCACAGGAACAGGGTACAGTGAATCAGCACAGCACAGGAGACAGAGCAGGCACAAGCACTGGATACAAAAAATGGACTAAGCACAAAGTAGAATGTAGTGTTTCCCCAAATCCCAGCGTTTGCCTTCTGCCTTGACAGATATTGCCATTTGTAGGTATCATCTGTACTACAACTTAATAGTTCTCTATAAATAGACTCTTTCAAAAACTTACCCTTATCCTAAGGAATAAAGAGCTCTAGTTATATTTTTCTCTAACATACATTAGAATAAGACATAAGTGCTAATGTCACAATGTTTTCCACATTCCATTTGAAATCACCTGGCACCACAGAGGTCCAGGGGTCACTCTTTGACACATGCTGTTAGCTAGGAGACCTTGGTGTGAAGTTTAGTCCTGCTTCCAGCCTCAGCTCTAGGCATGAGCTTTCTGGGAGCCATCACTTTCTGGGAGCCATCACTTCCCTATCTTACAATGAAGGAGAACTAGTGATCCCCACAGCTGCCCTGTCTAGCTCTGAGAGTCAAGGTTGGCAAATTTCTATGTGGCTCTGGCAAAGGTACCCACCAAGATGACTTGTTAGAAGGGTCCTAGAAACTTCCCAGTTTCTGCTCTTTTTGGGGTAGCTACAGATAGGGAAGGGAGTAATACATTTGGAAGCAAAGGAAGTTGGGTAGAAGATAGCCTAATGTAGAAGGAAGAATCTGATCCCCAAAATTATGGTATCTCCATTTAGCAGCCAAGTTTAAGTTTTTCTCATTTATAAAATGAGGATAGCCATGCCCTGTATCCTTAAATTTATACATTTGCTCCTCAACTTTCAATCAACTTGAACTTACAAAAATTTATACACGGGCAGTCAGTCCTAGACTACTCTTGAAAGCTCCATTCAGACTTGCACAAAAAAAGATGGATGACATTTGGGCCCTTCCACTAGTTACTACTTACATTTTGGTAATTTTGCAAGTGGAGTCATATTTGTTAAAATATATTGCATTACCCACCTTTTTAGTGATAAAGTTTCTTTAATGGCCACAAAGGACAAACATGACCAAAAGTACCTAAAGTGGCAGTTCTTAAAGCTTGATCTGGTGTTCACTGGACTTAAAGCTGGTCAAATGTATGCTCAAATAGGAAAAAGAACAAAAGTGAAGAACGCTGGATACATAGGAGCCAAGACTGTGTCTAAAAGGCAAAGTGTACTGTGGGACCTGTTTTCAAATTTAATTCATTCCAGAAGGCTGTTCAAGAAGTGATTTCTTCAAAAACCAAATCATTTTTTTTTTCCATTAGAAATAATGTAAATTGAATTAATTTGTTCCAGACCCCCAAATGATTCCCTCTTTTAACTTTTTTTTATCCTCACCCGAGGACATCTTTGCATTTATCTTCAGATAGAGTGGGAGGGAGAGAGGGAGGAAGAGAGAGAGAAACATCGATGTGAGAGAGACACACTGACTGGTTGCCACCCACACGACCCCAACCAGGGCCGGGGACAAACTGCAACCAAGGTAAGTGCCCTTAGCGGGAACCGAATCCGGGACTCTGGTCTGTAGGCCGACACTCTAACTGCTGAGCCAAACCGGCCAGGGTTAGATTTCCTTTACATAGTACATGTTGAATGTAGTATTTAATCTATAAACAAACACTTCTCTTAAATTTATCGAACCACCCCACCAGCCTTAACAGAACTTCCAGCACTCGTTCCTGGGCATCTTTCAGGAGTCAGCATGCAGCATCTTTGCTTCTACATACCATTGCCCCCAGAAATGTAATCACCAACTAACTGCTTTTCCTTTACCCAAATCAACAGTAGTTTTTCCATCTCTTCAATAGCCTGTGATCATTGTTTTTTTCACATCATTATCAACATTAGCCCTCTTGATTTATTTATTTATTTATTTATTTATGTATTTATTTATTTATTTATTTTTATCCTCACTCAAGGACATTTTTGCATTTATCTTCAGACAGAGCGGGAGGGAAAGAGGGAGGAAGAAAGAGAAAGAGGGAGACATTGATGTGAGAGAGACACATCAACTGGTTGCCACCCACACGACCCCAACCGGGGCCGGGGACAAACTGCAACCGAGGTACATGCCCCTACCAGGAACCGAACCCTGGACTCTTTGGTCTGTGGGGCGACGCTCCAACCACTGAGCCAAACCAGCCAGGGAGATTTTTTTTTTTTAGAGAGAGGAAGTGAGAGGGAGAGAGAGATAGAAACATCAAATGGCTGCATCTTACATGCCCCCCACTGGGGATTTGGCCCACAACCTGGGCATGTGTCCTGACTGGGAATCGAACCAGCTGACCTCTTGGTGCATGGGACGATGATCAACCACTGAGCCACATGGGCCGGACATGATGTCCTCTTCATGTTTTAAAATTGTGCTAATCGTCCACTTGCCAGCAACAAAAGCAAAAACACAAAATTATTCACAGCACAATTTCCTGAGATGTTAACAATAGGAAGTTGGGTGGTAAACTGATTCAAGTGGGCTCATTCTCTCCTTTGTTTGTGGCCTGAGAAAAGCTTTTTGTCATGATGATATATCAGCTTGAAAGGGTTGTCAGGTGGAGAACTGAATTATTCAATATGGGAGATGTTTGAGAACCCTGACATTTGACTGTACAGTTAAGGAGTTTATATTATTTTTTAGGTTTTAGGGAACAGAATTATAATGCAAAATGTCTAGAGTCAAATTTACCACATTCAATTTATATATATGATTAGAACACATTTTGTTCAAAGTATTGTCTCACCTCATAAAAGACTAGAGGCAGCCTACAGAAAAATACAAATAGATAAATCTGGGTAAGAGCAAATATAAATCAAAAGGCCAAAAATATAAGGTCTGTGCATTTTATTGTGTGTAAATGGTAACTAAAATATACCTCAATTTCAACATAGCAGAAATAAAACAAACAAAAAAACCAAGGTGAAGAACAAGATGCCGAGAACAGGTCCTGCAGTTACAAAGTTGAATTGAGCTTCCCACCAGCCAAAGCTAAAAGGGAAACTTTTTTTTTTATCCTCACCCGAGGACACTTTTCCATTTTTTTGTTCAGGTAGAGAGGGAGGGAGAGAGAGGAACAGAGAGAGAGAGAGAAACATCGATGTGAAAGGAACACATCGAGTGGCTGCCACCCGCACGACCGACCAGGGCCGGGGACAAACTGCAACCGAGGTACGCGCCCTTAGCGGGAACCGAACCTGGGTCTCTCAGGACCGCAGGCCGACGCTCCAACCGCTGAGCCATACCGGCCAGGGCTAAAAGGGAAACTTAACCACTACCTGACTCTTGCTGCAGAACCCATATGTCTGAAAACAATTTCTACTTAGGTGCCTTCAATGAGGGACAGTATCCTTGAGGACAGCATGGCAGTATGTACATGAACACATTTCCTAACTGTGTGTCTCAGTATTAGCCTGATGGAAGGATTCTGCAGCAGGAGTGGGGTGGGCAGGCAATGTTGGTCAAATGAGCAACTTGAAGGCTCAGATGAGATGAGGAGAAAGAGCTCAGGAAACCATGAAGCAAGTATCAAGTCAGCTATTCTAACACTAAGCTCTGGGTGCATCTGAACTGGAGAGGCCTAGAGGCTGAGACGTAGGCAAAGGGTTCGGAACTGACTTCCTAGTGTGACTAATCCAGCTAAACCAAAAGGAGCTCTGGCATCAACCCTCTCCCCATCCAATTCATAAACAAATGGCTTAGTTAGGGGGGCACTAACTGCAAAATAACAGCCAAGAACATTCCTGGGCAAATCCACTGGGCTCCATGTAGCAGAGGCCACTAATTGGACCCCTGCACCCATTTTCTCCATCTTTTAGTCATAGAACCCCCTAAGTTTTGACTGGGCATATGACTAACCAAATAAGAGGCTCTATGTCTCAGTGTCCCTTTCAATGAAGTGTGGCCAATAGTGGTTTGAGCAACTGCAGGTCATATCCTTTAAAAAAGAAACTGCTGCCCTGGCCGCTTTGGCTCAGGGATCAGAGTTTTGACTCTCAGACTAAAGGGTCGTGGGTACGATTCCCGGTCAAGGGCAGATACCTGGGTTGGAGGTTCCATCCCTGCCGCAGTAGGGGTCGTGTGGGGGCAATCAATCGATGTGTCTCTCTCACATCGATGTTTCTGTTTCTGTCTCTCTGTCTCTCTGTCTCTCTCTCCTCTTCCCCCTTTCACTCTATCTAAAAATCAATGGAAAAATATTCTCGGGTGAGGGTTAACAACAACAAAAACCTGCTTTGTTCTCCCTTTCTCCAGTGGAATTTGGACATGGAGCTGATGAGTATGTTTTGACCTTACAGGCAAGGACAACAAGCCAGGGGTAGCTGAACAACAAGATAAAAAGAAACCAAGTTCCTGATGACTTTTGTAGAGTTAAACCTGCCCTGGACCATCTGACTACCACTGTACTATTAGAAAAGAGAACATTAAACCTCTACTAGGTTCTCTGTGTTATAGCAGCTTAGCCTGTGGCTGAACTTAATTTACAACAGAATGGAAAGTCATGAGAGGGAGACAGGCTTCAAAGGACTCAGGCAACACCCTAGAAAAGTCAATGCACAATTCTCTTCAGCAAACAGGTCAGAAAATGACATCCATAAAACAAGTTGGCCTCCTACTGCTTCTCCAGGAGAGGCGTAGCCACATCCTTTGAGTAGCAGAGGCCTTTATTACGGCACAGCCCGAACACAAAATGAGGCCTGTCCACTGTGGCAGAGGCCAAGTCCGCATCAGTTGGAGATACAGACTACTTTCCCCACCAACACCAGGCAGGGACACCCCTGTCCTACCTTTGCCCCTACAGCATGAAAGCTCCAAACTTCTCCACTCTTCATAATTACTGTTCTTGAGGACAAGCCAAGTCCAGTAAGGCGTGGGGTGAAACAGCTGTCAGGGGACTGTGTGTGAGGGTCAGGGGAGAGGAGTCCAGAGCCCCAGAACAAAAGCCACAGCTGGGAACTGGAGAGGGAGAGAGGCTTCCACGTCTGCCCTGGGTTTCTGGGACCCAGGGGCCTGAGGGTATAGCACCTGCTCCTCCTGTGGAGTCCCCTGGTGACAGAACTCAGCCAGGCAGCTACCAGTCACTAACGAATCCCAGCCACTGGCACCTGCTGCTGCTTGCGAATCTTGTTGAAGAGTTCCATGTACTGGACCATGGTATCTGCTGGGCCATAGACCGTGTCGTGTCTGTTGCCAAACACTGTGGGAGTCCCTGGAGTGTGGCTACCTAGAAAACTCTGTAGGAATTCGAGCAGCAGGCTCCAGCAGTCACTAGCCACCACACAGGGGCCATACTCCACCTAGAGCCAAAGAAAAGAGAATAAGGATGAGTGCAGGCAAGGATGAGGCCTTCAGTTTCCCTTGTACCTCTTACCCTTGCTCCCGTCTTCCCCAACCTCAAGCCAAAGACACATCCATACCTTCTAGCACAGTGCTGCTGCACAGGAAATATTCAACCCAAACACCAAGGATTTGACACACCAACATTCCCTTTAGGCATCTATTTACATTCATATCTTGGAGTTATCAACCCCCAGCCCTGTCCATAAGACCCAAGGGAAGATCTGGGCTCCCTTGTATTATCTCGGAACTGCAACATCTCAGAATCCCCACTAAGCTGGGAAGATTCAAGGAGAGCTCAGGCAAATTCTGAGAAAATGAAGAGGGAGAGAAAGGGAGTGAGTGAAAGTGAGTGTGTGTGTGTGTATGTGTTGGGGATCAGTAGGGCACAAAGAGGACACATACCCTCATAAGTCTCTAAGACCAACCATTATTCCCAAGGTAGACCCAGCCTGGGCTCCAACCCTAAGAAATAATTTCCTGACCAACATAGCAGGAGCCAAAGGATAACACATCTTCAGTTTTCTCACTCCGCTCTTAATTTGTCACTGGAGAGATAGCAGGGGGAAATCACTGGTACAGAAACAGCTGGGGTATGTTTGTACTACAAAGTTGGAAATGTGAGGATAAACAGTAGTTTCCCAGTGGATCTCAGCAAATGGAAGGTGTGTCACAAGCTGAAAAGGGTCAAGAAATCTTGGCCCTCGAGTACTTGGAGTTTCAGAGCAGTAATCCACTAATATCCTTTTCTCTACTGGGGATGCTTTTTAGGACTTAGGTATCCCCATGTCCACACATTTGTAGTTCCTCCTTAAGTGCTGGTCTCATAGGAGGCCCACAATTCCCCAAGTCAGCAGTGCTCTCATTACCCGAAGTCCCAGAACAATCTGTGCCTCTTTCATGGCATTTCCCATAGACTAACTTCAAAACAGTTTGTACTTCGGTCCTGCTCTCTTACAAAATCAAGAATTTGCAAAAGGCAGGCCTCATAGCTTACTTTTAAAAAAAAATCTCACACAGTGCTGGACACATGGTAGGTTGTGGATTCTCACTGGCCCCAAAGCCAGCTACTTGTCACACTCCCTCTTTGTCATTTTCAATACAGCCCTCACAGATGAAGTCGTCACATGCACCCCTTTCACCATGAAAGAAAGTGCACAGCATGGCAAAAGGAAAGGCACATCTTTGCTACATAACTTTCAAGACCCATCTTACCCACCTCCCAAAAGTTAACTGCATGAAAAGTTGTCCTGCTCTGCTCCAATCCTTCCTGTGAAGGCTGACTAGTCCCTCCACACAATTCACCTGCCTCCCTTGACTACCTCTTCCCTTCTCCAACAAGCCAGCCTTGCTAAGCTTTCTACCTACTATGAACCCAGCTTCCAATTCCCATCCTTGGCTAGAGAGTCCCAAATGATTAAAGAAAGGGTAAAAGGTTCAGGACAAGGGGGCACAAATGCTCTGGAGACAGGGATCAGGTAGGCATAAACACCAGTTTGCATTCAGAGGGACGTGGAAACGTGCTGAGCAGCCCTTTCAGCACATCCTGCTCCTGTTTCACGAAGGCCTTACCTCCACAGAGATGCCTCGGGCACTGGGTCCCATTGTGACTGTGCCCACCTTCACAAGGAAGTCACAGTACTGGTAACGGGTGCCCCGGGTCTCAATCTTGCTGGCCTTGGCACTCTGGAAGAAGCCCTTGAGCTTTACCATGAGCACATCAAAGTTGGTGTCAGCAATAAGGCAAGGGCCATTCTCAAAGAGGGCGAAGCAGCTCAAAGGGTACTCTGAGTTGTGCATCACATACATCAGCTTCCCGGTCTGACCTGCAGGGACAGAGATCCTACTCAGCATCAAGACCTCCATCGGCAAACCCCAGAATAGAGGCAAATGTGGGAACAAGGCCAGATGGCAATCCAGCATTACCTCAGCAGTCCTGGGGCGGGGGGCAGGGTCCCCTTACAAACAGCCTTTTCTGAGCAACAGTAGGTGAGGTAGCATGTGGTAAAACCCACCTGCTCTACAGAAAAAGGTGAGGGGCACATAGGGAACTTCACTGGTGTTGATAACAGTTGAATCCTTTTTTTTTTTTTCCATCCTCACCAGAGGATATTTTCCCCTTTTATCTTCAGATAGAAAGGGAGGGAGGGAGGGAGTGAGAGTGAGAGAGAGAGAGAGAGAAACATCGATGTGAGAAAGACACATGGACTGGTTGCCTCCCACACGACCCTGACCAGGGCTGGGACCAAACCGCAACCGAGGTACGTGCACTTGATGGGAATCAAACGCGCGACTCTTTGGTCTGTGGGTCTGTGGGCCAACACTCCAACCTCTGAGCCAAACTGGCCAGGGCGATAACAGTTGAATTCTAAGTTGAGTGATGGGCTTACAGATGGATGCTTAGTGATAATGATTAGTAACTCACAGAGATTTCACATAGTTTTTTTTTGTTTTTTTTTTAATCCTCACCCGAGGACATTTTTCCATTTTTTGTACAGACAGAGTGGGAGGGAAAGAGAGGAAGAGAGAGAGAGGGAAACATCGACGTGAAAGGGACACATCGAGTGGCTGCCACCCGTACGACCAACCAGGGCCGGGGACAAACTGCAACCGAGGTACATGCCCTTAGTGGAAACCGAACCAGGGTTTCTCCGGACCGCAGGCGGACGCTCTAACCGCTGAACCAAACTGGCCAGGGCCACATAGTTTTTTATATACTCATATATTACACAATAAGGGAAATGGAATAAAAGAAACAGCATTTCAGTATGCCAAATGAAGCAGACGCTCTCTCTCTTCTGTCTACTTCTACCTTCCTTGGCCTCCCCCTCTTTGAAATATAAGCAGTAGCCCCAGAGATGGAGCAAGGGGGAATATCTGAACAAGAGGCTAGGAAGGTCAGCAGGGCCAGGCTGTGCTAAGTCTTGTCTTCCATGCCTCAAGAAGTCTGGACTTCATTCTAAAGGCAAGGGTTAAGCCTTGGACAATTTTAAGACATCAGCCGACTTGGGAAACAAGCAGTACACTACAGCAGAAAGAACTCAGCACCTGGAATCAAAAGATCTAGTTTCAAGCCCCAACTCATCTCTTTTAGTCTCTAAGAAATGAGTTTTCTCACTGATTACTATAAATTTTCTGCAAGAAGGAAGGGAAAGCTCTATACATCTATATACATATACATACACATACATATATATTTGGTTAAGTGAAAAATAGAAGGCAAAAAATGGAAAGCAAGATTCCTTGCTCATATAAGAGTTAATGGATAGACTATCACAATCTCAAATACTTATTAAGTACTTAAACTATTCCCAACACTGTCCTAGATTTAAGAAGCATACAAGTAGAGGACTTATCCTCTAGCCTCAAAAAGTTGACAATCTTACTAGAGATAAGTGAAAAACTGTAGGACCTAAAGTAGGATGTAAAGAGAGGGTAGGATTCAGCCACATGGAGGACAGAAAACATTCTAGGCAGCGGTGAGAGTATAGCAATGAAAAGAGAGAAGGGGGTTGGGAGAGCCTGAGGCGTTGTGACCTGTATACATGCTTCCACTCTGCTGCCACTTGCTGAACACAACAGGCTCTGCACAAACCTCCACACATCCCTCCGGACTGCCTGTTGCCAGTTCACACCTTTCACTCCTGGTAAATCCCTTCAAACTTCAACCCTCAAAAAGACATCCAAAACTGATCTGTCATTTTGTTCTTGTGCAAACTCACTGTAATTACATATTTAATTCACATGAGTCTGCAGGTATTCTTACTGTCTTGAAGATATTTTGAAGATCAACTAAGGTGTTTTTAATGAAATCACTTTCAGTTGTTTATATTTTTTTTTTCTTTTTTATATCCAGAGCAAATGTCTATTCCACTGAGAACACAGCACTGCCTTTTCCATAACTAAATAGTCCAATGTAATTAACCTGCCACCAGGTACATAACTAGTCCTATTGGAGAAAGTTGCCATAAAGAAGTTTCAGTGTTTCAGTTGTTTATAGATAATATTATTTTTTAAAATATATTTTTATTGATTTTTTAGAGAAGAAGGGAGAGAAACATCAATGTGAGAGAGAAACATCGATTGCCTGCCTCCTGCACGCTGCCTACTGGGGATCAAGCCCACAACCCAGGCATGTGCCCTGACTGGGAATTAAACCGGGACCTCTCAGTCCATGGGGTGATGCTCAATCCACTAAGCCTTACTGGCTAGGCAATATTATTATTATTTTTTAATCACTACAAAGAACCTTCTTATCTGCACAAATGTGTGAAGCCAGCAGAAACAGTGTCAATGTCCCCCTTTTACAGGGGAGGAAAACGTAGCTATGGGTCTCAGACCACCAGCAGCAGTACCACCACCACTTGTTAGAATTATCTGCCCCAACCCAGGCCTACTGAGTCAGAAAGTCTGGGAGAGAGGCACAGGGACCTGTGTCAACAAGCCCTCCGGCCCAGCCGGTGTGGCTCACTGCATTGAGCATCATCCCATGGACTGAGAGGTCCTGATTCGATTCCCGATCAGGGTACATGCCTGGGTTGTGGGCTCATCCTCAATAGGGGGGGAATGCAGGTGGCAGCCAATCAATGTTTCGCTCTCACATCAATGTTTCTCTCTCTCTCACTAAAAAAATTATAAAAACATATTTTTAAAAAGAACAAGGCCTCCAGTTGATGCTAATGCTGGTCAGTGTGAGAACTGTGTATCTAAAGGCACTGAGAGTGCCCTGGCCAGTTTGGCTCAGCGGTTAGAGCATCGGCCTGCGGTCCAGAGAGAACCGGGTTCGGTTCCCGCTAAGGGCATGTGCCAAGGTTGCAGTTTGTCCTCAGCCCTGGTTGGGTTGTGCGGGTGGCAACCACTCGATGTGTCCCTTTCACATTGATGTTTCTCTCTCTCTCTTCCTTCCTCCCCCCCTCCCTCCCACTCTATCTGAACAAAATATGGAAAAATGTCCTCAGGTGAGGATAAAAATAAAGGCACTGAGCCAGTTGCCCTGGCCGGTTTGGCTCAGCGGTTAAAGTGTCCCCAGACCAGAGAGTCCTGGTTCCCGCTAAGGGCACCTACCTCGGTTGCGGTTCATCCCCGGCTGCGGTTGGGGTTGGGGTTGTACGGGTGGCAAACAGTCGATGTGTCTCTCTCACATCGATGTTTCTCTCTCTCTCTCTCCCTCCCTCTCTCCCTCCCTGTTCTATCTGAAGATAAATGCAAAAAAAAAAAAAAAAGTCTTCAGCTGAAGATAAAAAAATAAATAAAAGTAAAGGCACTAAACCAGCAAGCAGCAAAGCTACAACTCCAATCCAGGCCTTCTGACCTCAAGTTTATTGTTCTTTCCATTCTACCCAACTGCTTTCCATTCTCCCCAACTGGATTGTAGCTCCTTGAAAATAAAGGTCTGATCAGGAAGAAAACAGCCCACACCAGGAAATTTCATAGAAATTATCTATATACATACAAGTGTTTGTTTTCTAAATGCTTTCATAATCGTTATATCTTTTGATTTTTATGTCCTTCCTACTGAAGGCAAAACAATGGTTAACACTGTAACTTTACAGATGGTAAAACTCAGTATACCTCTTAGCTACCGCTTATTAAAGGTTTATTACATGACAACCTTGGTTCTAGTGCCTCGCATGTGTTAACTTATTTAATTAGCACAATAACACTATGAGATAAGTACTATGCTTCTCTGCATTTTACCGATGAGAGAACTGTATTGGGAAGGGTGCAAAAACAGAAACCTCACCAGATAGTTTCATTAGAGGGGATTTGATAATACACGGGACAAAATACAGCAGGTAGAACTAAAAACCAAAGGGAATGATGAAGTCACCCAAAGATTAGCAACCCAAGAGGCCACTACCACCCCTAAGCCTGGACAGAAATAGAGAGGATGTGCTGTTATTACAGCCAGGAGCAAAGGCTGCCAAGCAGGAGCTAGAACCAAGGAGACACAGCCAGAGACACTGCCCAAAGCAGAGGGAGAAAGAAACTGTGGTCTCCCTTTGTCCTGTCTGTTAGTCTTCCCCAATACCTTTGCAGGGAAAGTTCAGGAAATGCATCTATGGGGAAATAAGTGAATTATAGCATAGAAACAGTCACAGGGTATGGGACTCAGTTATCTGGCTCCATATCTAGATTCTTTTTTCTTTCTTTTTTTCTTTATTGGTTTTAGAAAGGAAGGAAGGGAGAGGGAGAGAGAGATAGAGATAATGATGAGTGGACATCGACTGGCCGCTTCCTACATGCCCCCCACTGGGGATCAGGCGTACAACTCGGGCATGTGCCCTGACCGGGAATCGAAACGGCAACCTCTTGGTGCATGGGTCGATGCTCAACCACTGAGCCACATAGGCCAGGCTCCATATCTAGATTTTTAATCACTGTGCTATGGAACTGTCCAAGGTAAAGTTACCACAGAGCCCAGGTCCCCAAATTCATATTCAAAGATCCTCTTTGCCTCCTAACCATCACCACCCCACCATCCAAAGCCATCTCACCTCTTAATACATTTAAAACATTGATTCATTGGTCAAAGTTATGCTGACAAGGTAGCCAAGGCCACTGTCTAAGTGTGGGAAACATGAAGCCTTTCTGCAAAAAGTTCTAGAAACTCTGAAGCTTTATTACAATCCTATACAAAGACTTCTGAGCTCAAAGGAGTCTTTCTCAAACTTTAGAGTATATAAAGAACATCTGGGGAGCTCTTAAAATGCAGATTATGAGGCCCACAACAGCAGAGCCAGGAAACTACACTTTTAACAAGTAACCCAGATGATTTTGATGAAGTTAGTAACCAACCTTCTAAGAAACATTTTTTTTTTCTTTAAAAGTGCAAAGTGCAAAAAACACTAAAAAGCATGGGCCCCATCCAAGAGATGAAGGACCAAGAATTAATGAATTTAGAACACATCTGTGTTCAAGAATATCACTCTTAGAAGAGCAGAAAGATTTCAATGAATGAACATGAATGTCTATCAAATTCCAAGCCAGGTTGCAGCCATCCCGCAGATCCATCTCACTAACCTTGGCTGCCAAGGGTAGAGGCAGCCGTGTGGTAGGTCTCACAGTCCACACAAAATGTTCCTTGCTTCTCTGCCCCGAGCATCTCCAGTTTCCGAGTCAGGAGCTCCACGGTCTGCTGGACACTCTTGCCCTCAGCCACAGGCATCTGGGACACACTGGAAGGAAGAGAACCGAATCATCTGTATCCAGAGACACATGTCCACTCGCTGCACCACTCAATCACCCACAGAATCACAGTTCATCAGGACCTTACAGACCACCTACCATGACCCCCTTAGTTTAAAGATAAGGAAATAGCCCCGGCCCATTTGGCTCAGAGGTTAGTGTCAGCCTTTGGACCAATGAGTATCGGGTTCAGTCTTGGTAAGGGACACGTACCTCAGTTGCGGTTCGTCCCCAGCCCTGGTCAGGTCGTGCAGGCAGCAACCAGTCGATGTGTGTGTCTCTCGCGTCAATGTTTCTTTCTCTCTCTCCCTTCTTCCCTCCCTCCCACTCTAGCTGATGATAAATGGAAAAGTATCCTCAGGTGAGGATTAAAAAAAGATGAGGAAATAGAGGCCCACAGTCCCTAAGAATAAGAGCCCAGATCTTGGGACTCTCTCACAACAGTGCAGTGAACTTCCTATCACACTAGAATTTCCTGAGTGTGCCATGTGTGCCAACATTCAAGAGAAAACTGTAGGTGGCATACAGACTGAGCACTTGATATCACTAAGCTGTGTAATGAGTAAGGATTCCCTTTACAACTATTTCAGATCTGACTATATCAAGCAGAATGCCTCAATTTGGGGTATGTTTTTCCCAACTCTCTAACACTCTGAAAGTGTGATGTCCAGTACAGTAGCCACAAGCCACATGTGGCCATTTATATTTAAATAAGAATGTATCAGCCCTGGCCGGTTTGGCTCAGCGGTTGGAGCGTCGGCCTGCGGTACAGAGAGACCCGGGTTCGGTTCCCGCTAAGGGCACGTACCTCGGTTGCAGTTTGTCCCCGGCCCTGGTTGGTCGTGCGGGTGGCAGCTACTCAATGTGTCCCTTCACATCGATGTTTCTCTCTCTTTCTCTGTTCCTCTCTCTCTCCCTCCCGCTCTATCTGAACAAAAAATGGAAAAATGTCCTGGGGTGAGGATAAAAAGAAAAAAAGAATGTATCAAAACAATGAAGCAAAAAATGTTATTTCTGCCCTGGCTGGTTTAGCTCAGCGGTTGGAGCATCCTGCGGACCAGAGAGTCCTAGGTTCGGTTCCCGCTAGGGACACATACAAAAAAAAACAAAACAAACAACACATTTGTTTGCCCTTGCCAGTTTGGCTCAGTGGTTAGAGCGTCGGCCTGCGGTCCGGAGAGACCCGGGTTCGGTTCCCACTAAGGGCACGTACTTCGGTTGCAGTTTGTCCCCGGCCCTGGTTGGTCGTGTGGGTGGCAGCCACTTGATGTGTCCCTTCACGTCGATGTTTCTCTCTCTCTCTCCCTCCCACTCTATCTGTACAAAAAATGGAAAAATATCCTCGGGTGAGGATAAAAAAAAAAAAAAAAATGTTATTTCCAAGATGTCCTTCTATGGTGAGTAAAACTGGCTTTCCTTTAGAATGAAAGTTAACAGTCACCAAGCCCCAACTATGTGTCAGACAGTGTCCAAAAGCCTTAAAATAAATGAACGATTTGAATCCTCCCAAAAGCCCTAGAAGATGTGCTATTGCTTATCTCCTTGTTACAAATGAGGAAACTAAAGTACAGAGGAGTTGACTAACTTACACAAGGTCACTCAACTTTGTGTGGTGCAGCTAAGATTCAAAGTCAGGCAAACTGTGTCCATGTCCATGCCCTTTACTAGAGGACTACTTTCCTAGGGATGTAGTTAAAATACTTTTAAGGAAATGAAACAGAATTTTGTTTTCAATTTTTTTTTTGGTACATGCCCCTAGCGGGGACCAAACCTGGAACTCTCTAGTCCACAGGCCGACGCTCCAACCGCTGAGCCAAACCGGCCAGGGCTGTTTTCAATTTTTATTACAGATGTTTATGAAATAGATTTTTTAAAAAACATTAATAAATAATAGTACAGGTGGTACTTAGCTATATAAAAATCAGAAAGACAGCCCTGGCCAGTTTGGCTCAGCAGTTAGAACGTCGGCCCATGGACCAGAGTCTAGGTTCGGTTCCCACTAAGGGCACATACCTCAGCTGCAGTTTGTCCCCAGCCCCGGTTGGGGTCATGTGGGTGGCAACCACTCGATGTGTCTCTCTCACATCGATGTTTCTCTCTTTCTCTCTTCCCCCCTCTCTCCCTCCTGCTCTATCTGAAGATAAATGCAAAAATGTCCTCGGGTAACAAAAAAAAAAATCAGAAAGACAGTCATTTGTGACTGAATTTTGGGAAACACTGCATTACTTTATGATCAATCAGCCAAATGAAGCTATAACGGCAGAGTCCTACTTGTTGCTAAAAACTGTCATTACTTGTGTAGCTGATGTGGCTCAGTGGTTGAGCATCAACCCATGCACCAAAAGGTCTCCAGTTCAATTCCCGATCAGGCCACATGCCCAGATTGTAGGCCCAAGCCCCAGTGGGGGACATGCAGGAGGCGGCCAATCGATGTTCTCTCTCATCGATGCTTCTGTCCCTCTCTCTCCCTCTCCTTTCCTCTCTAAAAATTAATAAAGAAAAAATATTTTTAAAAAATTTGTCACTACTCTCCATCAGAAAAAGCATTGATAAAGAATGATGATGTACTTCATTTTGAAATATAAAAGCATCCCTAAAATGATGCTACTGGGGTGAGAAGACCTAGAAATCTGAAAAAGTTGATAAGGGTCCCAACAGACAGAGAAGCTTTTCCCTCTGTCTGCCTTTTCTACTGAAAGAACAAGGTCTTCCGGGTTCCAAGCCTCTGTGCTGCAAACTTGTCATTCCCAGCTCTCACACACCTCCCTTATGCTAGCAGAGGTGGGGAATGTCCGGCCTGCGAAATCAATACCAGCTAACATCACATGCCTTACCAAATTAGCCTGACCCAATATAGCAGGGTAAATTTTAAAAAATAAATTTTTTTTAATTGATTTTAGAGAGAGAGAAAGGGAGAAGGTGAGAGAGCTAGAAACATGGATGAGAGAGATCGACTGGCCGCCTCCCACATGCCCCCCAACTGGGGATTTGGCCCACAACCTGGGCATGTGCCCTGACTGGGAATTGAACCGGCAACCTGTTGGTACATGGGTTGATGCTCAACCACTGAGCCATACCGGCCAGGCTTAGCAGACTAATTTTTAAGTTGATAATTTTGTATGGCCTGTAGATGATGTTATACCCAAATGGCCCCTAGCAGAAAGAAATTTCCCCACCTCTGTGCGGTTAGAAGACTCAGAGGAGGCTCTTGATGTCAAATGTAGGAAACAAAAGTGCAATCCCTGAAAAACTGGCAAGAACCTAGGAGTTTCCACAGGCTCTTAAATGAGAAGCCTATAATCATTTGCCTTCAAATATCCTAGGCTACAGTCCTTTGACTGAAAATGCTTACACTTACCAATATTAAAACAACAACAACAACAACAACAACAAAAACAAAAACACTGCCTGGCAGGTGTGGCTCAGTGGACTGAGCAGTGTCCCATGGACTGAGAAGTCCCGGTTCGATTCCAGGATCAAGGCACATGCCCAGGTTGGGGGAAGGGGACGTGATCCCCAGTAGGGGATGTGCAGGAGGTAGCCAATCGATGTTTCTCTCTCACATTGAGTTTATATCTCTCTAATAAAAAATCAATAAGAACATTAAAAAAAAAAAACCTGAAATCTAGCATTTTGGAATTAATGCCTCCAAGGGCACTAGACCCATACCTTTCCCTGCCACCCTGACTTCTGTTAGAGATAAAAAGTGCATAGAAACTAGACAAATCATAAAGAAAACAGGTCCTGAAGAAGTAATGTGCCTAGAACCCCAATCTCCTAATTCCCATTAGCTTTGGTTTCCCTCTAGACCCAAGATCTAAAAATGGCCAAACTAGAACCAGACACGGGCTAGTCTAACTATATTTAGTGACTGTAGGAAGGGGCAGGAGAAAACCTAAAAAAGATACTGTCTTCTCCTTGCCTATTCCCAAACCCCTCCGGCTCTGCCTGCTGATGGGTTCCAGTTTGCACATCCTATTTCCGACCCTAAAGTTCTATCCCTGGCCTCACCGGCAGGAAGATGTACCAAGAAAATGGGAAGGAGGTACCCATTGATGGGTTCCTGGGATAAGACCCAGGAGGAAGGGGGCGCACCTCTGAGGTATCAGGCCCGGGGACGTCACAACTCTCATGGTGTCCCCCTCACACACGATCCGAGGACAACGTGCTAAGCTCCTGGGGTACCGCGGACCCTCGTCCCGATCCTCCTCCCAGGTACACTCCAGGCTCCGAGGGCCCTTCACGACCCCAAGGCCCGCCCCACAAACTCCCATGCAGTCCTACCAAGTCACTCCCATGATGTCAGACCAGGAGAGTAGCAGCAGCGAGTAGTTGAACCGCAGAGCTCTCCACCCGCAACGTTAAATAAAGGCCCCTAATGCCAGCGTCGGTGGAGGGAGGTGCTCCGGAAATTACGTAAAAACTGAGCGCCCAGTCGACGCTCCACGAGGGGGTCTGTCTAGGAGCCTGCTCGGTGACACCTTCATTGATATTACTGCCCAGCTGCTCCTCCAAGGCTTGCAGCACCCTGGGCCTAAACCCTCAAGGCTTAGAGAAGCCAACGTTAAATGCAAAGAGTTTATTTGGGAGTCTAGCTCCAGCACCTGTGAGTTCTTAGCAGGTGCGGCAACGCTAGTGGCACGCCAGGCCTCCGACCGGTAGGGGGCGCTGTGAGCTCTACGTGTGGCTTCTTGGGACCTGGGAGTTCACGGCGCAAGCGCACCCACGACTTCTTCCTCTCCACGTGTGAAGTTTCTCCGCACCTTTTTCAAGAAAAATGCCCAAATTCAAGGCAGCCCGCGGGGCCGGGGGTCAGGAAAAACATGCGCCTCTTGCCGACCAGATTTTGGCTGGGGACACGTTGCGGGCAGGGGCCCGGGAAAAGCGGCGGGGTCGTGGAACCAAAGAGGAGGAAGAGTATGTGGGGCCCCGGCTGACCCGACGGATTTTGCAGCAAGCGCGGCAGCAGCAGGAGGAGCTCGAGGCCGAGCATGGGACTGGGGGCAAGCCTGCGGCCCCACGGGAGCGCATCACGCGGCTGGGTGAGTGGCGAGACGGGTGCAGGAAGGAGGTTAGGAGGGGATCGAGGAGCGTCGGGCAGAATAGCTTGGAATAAAAGGGTTCGTAGTACTCCCTTACAACAGTAATGGAATGGGAGACCCAGCCCTGGAGCGGATTTAGGGTAGTCAGAGCCCTTCACGCCTGCTACTAGTTTTAGGCCCCCTCCTCTGGGTACCTCTGAGGTTAGTCCAAAAGAAAGTGGTTGCTCACACCACTAAATTCTAGTATTTACCCATTTGTTCTATAAATATTTATGGCATGTCTACTAGTGCTTCGTCCTGTACTAGGAGGTTAGAAGGTTGGGATAAAGAAGTAAACAAGGGCCCTGGCCGGTTTGGTTCAGCGGTTAGAGTGTCGGCCGGCGGTCCAGAGAGATCTAGGTTCGGTTCCCGCTAAGAGCAGTACCTCGGTTGCAGTTTGTCCCCGGCCCTGGTTGGGTCGTGCGGGTGACAACCACTCGATGTGTCCCTTTCACGTCGATGTTTCTCTCTCACTCTCTCTTCCTCCCACTCTATCTGAACAAAAAAATGGAAAAATGTCCTCCGGTGAGGATAAAAAAAAAGTAAACAAGGTAGACATGTGCCTGACTTCAGGATTTTACAGTCTAGCCCAGGAGAGAGTAGACGATAGGCAATGAGAATAATACATCCCATGGCAAAGTATAAAAGTTTCTGATAACAGCAGCATTGATCTTGGGGTCAGGCTCCCCAGATTGCATGTCCTTTGTGCTGAGACCTAAAAAATGAGTGGAGAGTGCTCTGAGCAGAAAGAACAATGTTGTTTAGGTGCTAGAGAGAGAGAGAAAGTAAAATATGATAAACATTTTCCTATTTGGGTTGGGAGTGTTGACCTTCCTAATCCATTTCTCAGATTTCTTTGTCCTGACACAATTGAACATAGGCCTCCTGCCTACAGTATATTTATGTGGCTTCTAAGACATCACATTCCTGTTACTACTTACCTCTTAGTATCCTTTGCTGGCTCCCCTTTGATTTCCAACCTCTTACTGAAGTGCCACAGGGTTCAGTCTTTGGACCTCTCTCTTCAATCACTTCTGTGGTGCTGTCATCAGTTTCATAGTTTAAATGCCATCTATTTGGGCCCTGGCCGGTTTTTCTCAGTGGTTAGAGCATAGGCCTGCAGACCAAGGAGTCTTGGGTTCTGTTCTGGTCAGGGGCACTACCTCTGTTGCGGTTTGCCCCCAGCCCTGGTCCTGGTCAGGCAGGAGGCAGCCAGTCGATGTATCTCTTTCACACTGATGTGTGTCTGTCTGTCTGTCTCTCTCCCTCTCCCTCTCTCTCTCCTTCTCCCCCTCCCTCCCACTCTGAGATAAATGGAAAACTATCCTTGGGTGAGAATTATAAATGAATAAATAAATAAATACCATCTATTTGGTGACTACTTCCAACTATATTCTAGCCTTGATTTTTTTTACCATGAAACCTAGAATCTTCAGTTGCCTATTTAGCATCTCCAGTTTGAAGTCTAATAGACATCTCAAATTTAACACGTCCAAAGTAGACCTCGACAAACCTGCTTCTCCAACATCTTCCTCATCTCAGTTAATAGCATGCTATCTTTCCATTTGCTTAAGACGAAAAGCTTGGACTTCTCTCTTTCTCATTCCACATCCGATCTGTTGGGAAAACCTCTTGACTCTACCTTCAAAATATATCTCGAATCAGACCAGACCACTTCTGACCACCATCGTCTTCAGTGATCTCATGCCTGGATCATTGCAGTAGCCTCATTAATGTCCTATACCCCCTACAGTTCACTCTCAACTCAACAGCGAGAAGATTACAGTGGTTTGCAAAGCCCTGTATGATCAGCTCCATTGCCAGTCCGACTTCTACTTTCTCCCTTTTGCTCCACCCATATAAGCTTAAGCATGGCAAGTTAGGGCCTTTGCCCTGGTTGCTCCTTTTGCCCTCATACACCTGTAGGCGTACTCCCTCAATTCTTCACCTTCTCAGAGAGGCCTTATGTTATGCAAAGAGCCCGAGTCCCAGGAAAATAACCCAGTTGACTGGCTGTGAAAGACATGGGTTTATGAGGACTTACATGCTCACTGGTGGAGGCCGGCCAGTGAAGTTTTCCACAACACAGGCTTTCCCAGCACAGGGTTGTATAGAGTACAGAAAACAAAGCAAACAGCATGCAGGGTAGACATGCTCACACACAGCCCGTGGAAGATCAAAACACTAGCAGTTTACAGTCCGGGCTCACATCCTAGAACAGTTTGTGTTTGGCTGTTTCTTGACCAAGGAGCTGGCCAGGTTCCCAGGGTCACTCCCACTTACAGATGGCCTTCTTCTTATTCCCACAGGGTGGGAGGGGGAGTTGGAATTTGGAAAGGGGCCCAGGTTCTCACATACCATACACCTTCCCTAATCACTTCATTAAAAATTGCAACATGCCCACCCTGGCTGGATGGCTCGGTTGAGTGGGTCAAGGCACATACCTAGGTTGTGGGTTCAATCCCCAGGGCCTATGCAGGAGGCAACTGATCAGTGTTTCTCTCTCTTTTTTCCTCTCTCTAAAATCAGTGGAGGGCATGTCCTTTGCTGAGGAGTAGGAGAAGAAGAAAAAGGAGAGAGAGGGAATTTCAATACCCCCACTACTGTCTGCACAATCCCAGCTTCTCTACTCTGCCCTGTTGCTTTCTTCATAGCACTTGTCTTTTAACCTATTATGTGTTAAATATATTGTCTGTCTTCCCCCACTAGAATATAAGCTCTTTAAGGGCAAAAGGTTTTGTTTCTCTTGTTCAGTAATATATTTCCAGCACCCAGACAGTGTCTTAAAGATAGTAGGCACTCAGTGTTTGCTGAATGCCTGGATAATGAGTGATGGGAAGGTGGGTAGGAACCAAATCTGCAAAAGACCTGGAGGCCGTGCCCAGAATTAAAAGCTATCATAAAGACAATGGAAAACTGTTGGAGAATATGGAGACCAATTACGGGATTGTTTAATTTAGGCAAGAGATGATGGTGATCTAGGCTTAGACAGAGCTGTGAAGGATTTGAAAGAAATTCTGTGAGGTAGACTTGAATAGGACTTGGTAATTCATTGGGTGTTAGGGATGAGGCAGGCCTGCCTCCCAGGTTCTGGCTTAGCATTGGGTGGATGGTGGTGCCATGTACTTAGATGTAGAACAGAGTGAGTAGTATAAACCTAGAAGGAAAAGAGAGTGAGTTGGCTTGATGACAAGTGAAGTTTGAAGTGCCTGTGGGTCGTCCAAGAGCGGCTGTACAGGTGGCAGCTGAAGTTATGGTCTAGAGTGAAGGGATTTCTACCTAGAAGTACAGATTTGGGAGTTGTTAGCATGAGGAGACAAAACACCTGTGCGCCCCCCACCCCCATTTAGCTTTTATCACACACTCCCTCTGTTAATGACCTGTTCATATGCAGCATTTTGTCTCCCTGATTGGAGTATTGCATCCCTTACCAGATGCCCAACCAGCTGTAGCCTTCCAGTAATCAGTCATTCAAATGGGTCGGTCCATTGAAACCTGAAGTACAGAGCCTGGCCTCGAGGCCTTCCACAGTGTGGGTTCACTTGACCCATCCAGCCTTATTTCTTGCTACTGCCTAACAGACACTTTTGTCACCAATTCCTTTTGCCAGTGTTGTGACCCAGGTTTGGAACACACTCCACCTGCGCCCATGCTCCCTATCCAGGGTCTAACTATCCTCTGCACTCATCTTCTAAGTGCCTATGGTATATACTGTCTCTGCCACTCATTTGGCGTATAATCAGGTCCTACTATGTGTATATTATACAGGCGACAGATGTACAACCTGTTCCCAGACCACCTGCCATAGGCAAATCGCTTCACTTTTTTTGTGCTTTAGTGTCTCCATCTGAAACTGAGTATAATAATAGACCTACTTCTTGGGGTTTATGTACAGTGTTTAGAACAGTTCCTGCTACATGACTAAGCGTAGTGTGTTAACTGTGATGTGTTGGCATCACTATCTCATTGGTTCATAGATGTACATTTTGTTTCTCAAGCAAGATTGTAAGCCCCTGGTACAGGAAGGTGATGTGTGCACCATTTCACTGCACACGTCTTTATTACAAGCACACATGAGGCTAATGCTGTGCATAGTGGTTCAAGTTAAATTGACCTCTAAATCCCTCACCCACTACTTGCCTTTCTCATCCATTTCATCTCCCTTCTCAGGTCCAGGAGCGCCGCAAGATGGATCAGATGACGAGGATGAGGAGTGGCCCACCCTGGAGAAGGCCGCCACAATGACAGGGGCAGGCCATCATGCAGAGGTGGTTGTGGACCCTGAGGATGAGCGTGCCATTGAGATGTTCATGAATAAAAACCCTCCTGCCAGGTAGGGCTGGCATGGCCTGGGATTTCGGGTAATGGGTCCTGGTAGCAACTTCCCACAGGGGAGCAAATGCCCCAGCAGAGTTTTGATTTCGTACCTTTGGGAACGGCCTGAGTATTGCTGGTTGTAAGGGGCCACCTTAAAATGAGGGCATCCTCAAAAGACCGTTCTGAGTAAGAATGATACAGACTCAAAATACCTCCTCCCCCTCTGTCCACCTGTTCTAGAACTGCTCGGATTACCTGAGGAAGCAGCTACCCGGCCTTTTTATGTTTCTGGGGAGATGTATCCCATTGCATTTGGTCTTGCCATGCTCAGTGTCCTAGTGGTGAGCTCTGTCCTGTGCCATTTCTCTTTCATACCCTAAGCTTCATTGTATTCAGGGTTTTTCTATCTTAGCACTATTGGCATTTGGGGCTGGATAAATCTTTTTTGCGGAGGCTGTCCTGTGCAATGTAGGGTGTTCAGCAGCATCCCTGTCCTCTACCCACTAGATACCAGTAATGACCTTCTCCCCTACTGTGATAACCAGACATGTCTCCGGCATTGCCAGGTGTCCCCTGGGGGCAAATTCACCCCTCGTTAGAACCACTGATTTATTCCTATCTGTAATAAATGCTAGCTGCGAAAGGTACAGGCGTTTAAGCTCCTGTAGTCAAACTCCTGAGAGTATGGATTTGGACCCAGGAGAGGGGAATCTAAGAGAAGGGCCCTCGACCGGTTCACTCTGACCCTGTGATAGTAACATGACATTGTTCTTGGTTCTTCAGGCTATTTTAGGTTAATGCTTCTCATTGCTAATCACTGTGAGAGGACGGAAGCTGAATGATAAGGTCTGTCGTAGTTTATTTGAGAGCACAGAATGAAGGAATGAGTTCCTTTTCCAGATTGAGACCCAGCGACTGAAGTAGATGTCACAAAGTGTGTACCTGAACTTGTGTGCTTGTCCCACCAGAGAGCCTCTCACTCAGTGCCTTATAACTCCTTAATAGATCGTTCTGAGAGGCTTGTCAGTGGTTTTCCGGCTTGCAGTAAATAAAAGAGTAAAGCTGCACCCTGGCCGGTTTGGCTCAGCGGTTAGAGCATTGGCCTGCGGTCCAGAGAAGCCCGGGTTCGGTTCCCGCTAGAGGCATGTACCTCGGTTGCAGTTTGTCCCCGGCCCTGGTTGGGTCGTGCGGGGGCAGCCACTCGATGTGTCCCTTTCACGTCGATGTTTCTCTCTCTCTCTTCCTCTCTCTCCCTCCCACTCTACCTGAACAAAAGATGGAAAAATGTCCTCGGGTGAGGATAAAAAATAAATAAATTTTTAAAAAAGAGTACAGCTGCTAGAAACAGTGACTCCTGACATTCTTGAGAAATGACAGGTGGCACCTTCAGAAAGCAGGCTTGAACCCACGTGAGCACAGCAGTCAGAGGCCGTGTCGTTTGGAGGCACGTTAGTGTGCGCTGTAAGGGACCCAAGCTTTCGGACCTGAGCAGCCGGGATTTGACTCTTTGCCCCACTTGAGAACTCTGAGACTTTGGGTGAGTTTGTAACCTGAGTGTCAGTTCCCATGTTGAGTAAGGGACTAGCACCTCATATAGGTGTTGCACAGACTATCTAAGGTAACGTCTGAGAAGTCCTGTACTCGGTGCCTGACCTTGAGAAGATCCTTAGAAAACGGGAGCCGTTTCAAATATGTGTTGGCAGCCGCTGAAGATACCAGTCCTATACCGGAGTCTGATGTAATGAGAATGCTGAATCATCACAATAAAATTATGTTTGATATACAGTTTAACGAGGCTGGAAAGAAGATGATTAATCTTAGAAATACTTCCATAAATTTTAATAAATTAAAATGGTGGGAAGTTTGTGCCCTGGTCTCTTTCCCAGTGATCCCAGCTACTTGAAATCTTGGTATATAACTGAGAGGTCAGACCAGGATTTAGTAATTGAGGAGACTTCAGCATATGAGGGATATGTCTGAAATAGGCAACACTTACTATACATTTGCTGTGTACTAATAGTTCTGAGTAGTAATATGCACGCATGAATTCATTTAATCCTGACATTCACTTTATAAGATAGGTATAGTTATTACCCCTCTTTTACAGATGAGGAAACTGAGGCATAGAGAGGCAAAACAGCATGCCCAAGGCTATACAGGGAGTGGAAAAGCTGGGATTTAAACCCAGGCGGACTGACTTCAGAGTCCAGGTTCTTAACCTCCACAGGACTGTCTGCTTTGTCCTAAACTGGAGGACTTTCAGGTCATTTGTGCCCTGTAGCTATTCCATGGTGGGTGGTTGGGCCCAGAGGGGAACTGAGGTCACCCATCCCAGCAGGATGACAGGTCTTTCGGGGCTCACAAAGGACTGTGGTGTGGAGTCCAGAGCTTCCGGACTGTCACCACAGCATTCCCAACCCTCCTTCCCCTCCCCTCTGCAACCCCCCACTCTTAGGCGCACCCTGGCTGACATCATCATGGAGAAGCTGACTGAGAAGCAGACGGAAGTTGAGACGGTCATGTCTGAGGTGACAGGCTTCCCTATGCCCCAGTTGGACCCCCGGGTCCTGGAGGTCTACAGAGGGGTCCGGGAGGTAAGAGCTGGAATACCCTCACAGGGACTGTGGGCTCCCATCTAAAGTCTTGGGTGCCCACATCTCTCCACACAGAAGTCCTGGTGGCCGAGAACAGTCTTAAGTCGGAGTATGGGTTCAAATTCCTGCTGCTATACCACTTAGTGACTTGGTGGCTGTGGATAAGTTATATAATTCTCTGGTCTCAGTTTCCCCATCTAGAAAATGAGGATGATAATAGCATCTCCTTATGTGGTGGTTGTGAGGATTCAGTGAGTGAATGTATGAGAAGCCCTTGGACAAGTACCTGGCAAGCAGTGTGTATATTGACAGTAACGATGGTTTTACACCCTCCTCCCCAGGTGTTATCTAAGTACCGTAGTGGGAAGCTGCCCAAGGCATTTAAGATCATCCCTGCACTCTCCAACTGGGAGCAGATCCTCTACGTCACAGAGCCGGAGGCCTGGACTGCTGCTGCCATGTACCAAGCCACAAGGTGGAGTGGATGGGAGTTAGAGTGGCCTTAGGTCTGTGGGTCAGGGCTGGGGGCGTGGGAAGTACAGGCTTTCCCGGCCTTTGCCATTGCATTTTAACTTTGCCCCAGAGCTCTCTTTTGTGCTTGTTTATATCGTCATTTTCCCAGTTTTTCCTCTTTCATGTTTTGGGACCAAGACCCAGTTGAGAATCTCCTGTGATATGTTTCTAGGGAAGAGACAGAACTACTGGTCAAACCCCCTAGTGTGTCAGACTGGCCTCAAGTCTGTGGCTCCCCAGGCGTGGCCAGGGCCCTCGAAGAGTAGGGGAGAGAAGACCCCTGATGGGGAGAGGGAAGTGAATAGCTGAGTGCCATCGGTTTGGGAGTACTCTGGCTCTTTCAGTGTTCGCCTCTTGGGTACATCTTGTAGCCCCTTCTGTTCCCTCTTATCAGACTTGGGTGTTACACGCACACAGCTCCCACACACCCCTCAAATCTCTTGCATGCACCATCCACAGTGATATTTAAAGGACCAGCTCCAGGCTATCAAGTAACCTGGGATCTCCCTGCTCCACTTTCCCTATCCTTCCCCCAAAAAACTAGGATTTTCGCCTCTAACCTGAAGGAACGCATGGCCCAGCGCTTCTACAACCTTGTCCTGTTACCCCGGGTACGAGATGACATTGCTGAATACAAACGACTCAATTTCCATCTCTACATGGCACTCAAAAAGGCCCTATTCAAGCCTGGAGCCTGGTTTAAAGGTGAGAACACACGAGGCAGGTAAGAAAGGGAGGCGCCCTGGCAGGTGTGGCTCAGTTGGTTGGAGCATTGTTGTGTACACCAAAAGGTGGTGGATTCGATCACCGGTCGGGGTCCCTGCAGGAGGCAACTGATTGATGTTTCTCTCTCTCAAAAATAAATAAATAAATAAAATAAAAAGCAAGTAGGCAATTTAAATGTTTATTTAAAAAAAATAAGAAAGTGGCCCTGGCCAGTTTGGCTCAGCAGTTAGAGCATTGGCCTGCGGTCCAGAGAGACCCGGGTTCGGTTCCCGCTAAAGGCATGTACCTCGATTGCAGTTTGTCCCCAGCCCTGGTTGGTCATGAGGATGGCAGCCACTCGATGTGTCCCTTTCACGTCAATGTTTCTCTCTCTCTCTCCTCTCTCCCTCCCACTCTATCTAACAAAAAAAATGGAAAAATGTCCTCTAGTGAGGATAAATAAATAAATAAATAAGAAAGTGCCTGGCTGGTGTGGCTCAGGGTTGAGCGTTGACCCAGGCACCAAGAGGTCGCCAGTTTAAATTTCCAGTCAGGGCACATGCCCAGGTTATGGGCCAAATCCCCAGTGGGGGGCATGCAGGAGATGTTCTCTCTCATCGATGTTTCTCACTTTCTCTCCCTCTCTTCTCTCTCTAAAATCAATAAAGAAAAAAAGAATTTAAAAGAATTTCTCGTTCTTGTATTAAAAAAGAAAGGGAGAGGCTGGGGCTCCAGGTGAAAACAGTGAGCATGACGGGAGGCAGCCGTCTCTGGTAGATGGGGTGCTTCCTGCTGTGTGTGTATCCTGTCTCCCTGGTCTCAAAGGGACTGCCCCTCTGTCCCTCCCCAGGGATCCTGATCCCACTGTGTGAGGCCGGCACCTGTACCCTCCGGGAAGCCATCATCGTGGGCAGCATCATCACCAAATGCTCCATCCCTGTTCTGCACTCCAGGTAGTGTTGGTGGGGAAGGAAGATGACTCGTCAGTAGAATCACCAGGATTTGTAAAGTTGGTGGGGGAACAGTGGAGAAGGAGCTAAGAATAGCCCTGGGTTTGTGGCTTAAGCCAGTAGGTGTGTCATTACTCCACTAGGTTGTAAATTTCACAAGAATAGGGTCCCAGTGCCTGGCACATGGTAGGTGCTTGTAAATAGTTGAATGAATGAATAGGGAACATGGGAAGAAAATAGGTTAGGGCTGGAGATGTTGAGATACTTGGATATATTCTAGTTGGGTACTGAATGAGGCAAGCAGTCTGAGCCAGATGTAGGGATTTGGGGTGGATCAGCATAGAGATGGTAACCAGAGCAGGGAGCAGGGTCAAGACTGAGTAGTTGAGACGGCCCGATATGGCCATCTTAGGCATACCACAGTGTAAGGGCCAGCAGAGGAGAAGAGAGAAAAGGCACGGAGAAGTAGACCCTCTCCCCCAACATTTCCCCACCACCAACCCTACCCTACCTTCCTGCCAGTGCGGCCATGCTGAAAATCGCCGAGATGGAATACAGTGGTGCCAACAGCATCTTCTTGCGACTGCTGCTGGATAAGAAGTACGCACTGCCCTACCGGGTGCTGGACGCCCTGGTCTTCCACTTCCTGGGGTTTCGGACAGAGAAGCGTCAACTGCCCGTGCTCTGGCACCAGTGCCTCCTGACATTGGTCCAGCGCTATAAGGCAGACCTGGCCACGGAGCAGAAAGAGGCCCTCCTGGAACTGCTCCGGCTGCAGCCCCATCCACACCTGTCCCCTGAAATCAGACGTGAGCTTCAGAGTGCAGTACCCCGAGATGTGGAAGATGTTCCCATCGCCGTGGACTGAGGAAACAGTCGCGTCTCCTGGTCTGAGGGTGTGGGGAGGACACTAGGCGGCCTGTTAAGGTGACACTGGACACAGCCTCTACAGCTGAAGACCCAGATCTGGGCAGTAAGAGCTCATGGGCCTCTGTGACTCCCCAGAACCTCACAGGGAGGACTGAGGGTCTGGCTGGCTCCCTCTCCCATTCTAGGCCATTGTTCCTGCTCAGTTGTGCAACCTGTTTGAGATTCCAACCCCAGTATTCCTCCTCCCCTGCTGGGGCTTGGAGTAAGTACTTTTTCTCAGGCTGTTGTGTCACCTGGACGTGGATAAAAAGGAGGTATTTATTGAGCTTCTGTGTTTTGGTTATCAATGGAGATCTTTCTGCTTTCTCTTTTTATCTGTCTAGGAGTGGAATCTTACCCAGTATATGAAGACCAACCAACCCCTCCCTCCCCACACTTACTCTACAAGCTTGTTTGTGCAGGCTATACCCAGTGTTAGCCCCTAGGGGGCACAGTCTCTGCCTTCCCCCAATACAGGCAACAGGCGGTCTCTGAGTTGTGGACGGAAGAGCTAGAGGAGAAAGCCCCTAGAGGGAAGTGGAAATACAGAGGCCAGACAGGTCAGAGTAATATTGGCTGTGCCCAGGAATGATTAGAACTGGGTCACTACGAGACAAAGTTCCCTTTCTAACTTTCCTGGCTAATGAGACCTTTAGACCAGAAGTCGGCAAACTAGGGTCATATGCCTATTTTCTTATGACCCATGAACTAAGAATGGTATTTACATATTTTAATGGATAGGAAATTTTTTTTAAACAGTATTTTGTGTCCAGCCAGTGTGGCTCAGTGATTGAGAGCTGACCCTGCACCAAGATGTCGTTGGTTCAATTCCCGGTCAGGGCACATGCCCAGGTTGTGGGCCTGATCCCCAGTGGGGGGCATGCAGGAGACAGCCAGTCAATGTTCTGATGGATGTTTCTCTCTCTCTCTCTCTCAAATCAATAAAGAGAAAAAATATATATTAAAAATATTTTGTGAAAGATGAAAATTATATGAAATTTATTTTTCAGCATCTAGTTTTTATTGCAACACAGCCACTCCCATCTATTTACATGGTTTCTTTTGCTACTCCATGCTGCACTAGCGGAGTACAATCCTGGAACTCGTTTGTCTTTGAAAGTATGGCTTTGTGCCAACCCAGTTAGTACATTTGAGAACAATTTGATCATAAAGAAAATACCACATTTATTTATGTGCAGTTTTGTTCTTGAGAAACACTACGTAAAATCAGAAAACTGCACCCAGCTGAGCCAGGCCAGGTACACAAATGCATGCAGCTCCAACATGTGGTTGGGAGTCACACCACATCTGGTGTCAACCCACCTTCCACATCCTTCTGACCTCTGCTTCCAGAAGCAAGCTTTAGGTCTTTTTGAAGATAAAGGACTATAGTTATTGTATTTGTGTTTAACCATTTAGTGTATAAAAACTATGCTGTCTTCTTTCTTTAAAAAAAAAAACAAAAACAAAAAAACACCGCTCATTACATTTTGGTTGTGCCTTAAGCCCATACATAAGTCTTGTGGGTTTTATTATGCAGTTTTGCAGAGTGCCGTGATTTTTAGGGTCGCATACATTCCATTATAAAGTAAGACTATATGTGGGGCAGAGACAACATGGCACATAAGCCTAAAGTATTTACTCTGGCCCTTTACAGAAAAGGCTCAACAGACCCTGCTTGAGACCATTGATTTCTGATCTCCCTACCTCATGCAGTTTAGAAATGGGCTTTTACCGACACCGCCAACCAATCCAAGAAGCCAAGGCCGGTTTTATTCCACAATCTTTATTAAGGTAGCATGATGGTCCTGGGCCAGCAGCCTGGACCTTGTCGCCTTAAGAAAGACCTGTGTCAACAGGGCTTGCATCCCTCCAGATAGGGGGCTTAGTCACTTTCAGGTCATCCTTGCTTCATCCCCCACTGAAGGATGGGGCAGAGGGCCAAAGGGAGAGGAGGGCCTGGCCCCTCCCCAGGCTGTAGCAGCTCCTCCATCACAAAGATCCTCTAGCCAGTAGCAGAGGGGAGGGACGCAGCAACCACCAGGGTTACCACCACTTGTGGGGTAGGTGGGCCCCACCACACCCTCTTACAGTTGTATCCAATACAATTAATAAATTAAAACCTTTTCCTTCAGCACTGACCCCCCTCAATCACACAGAAGCTGAGTGGAAAGCAAAGCAAAGAGGAATTGGTTGATTCTTGAATCTCTGACCAGAGGCCTGGGCCCCTCCCTCTGGGAGTAGCTGTGAGCATGGATTATGCAGGGTTGTCCAAAGTGTGTTGAGAAGAGCTGTCCCCTCAGAATATTGGCAATTTCTTCAGAAAGACCCCAATCCAAATGCAGCGACTCTAGAAGGTGCAGCACCTTTATGAGGCACCAGGGCATTTTGGCAGTTGAGAACACGAGAGCCCCAAGATAGAGGGGCCTCAGAAAGGAATGCTGGTGCCTGTAACTACCTACTTGAATTTTGTCTCTGAGCAGCCTGACACCCCCCCCCAGCCAGAACCGGGAGGAGCTGAGCTGGTCAGAGGCACAGAGAAGGAGGGGCCTGACTAGCCACCCAAACATGGCTGGCCAGGCCCCTTAGTGCACACCGCAAGGATAGGTAGGACCTGCCCCCTTCTGTTTAGCGAAGGGCGAATGGAAGGAGCCCCCTCAGACTTCAGTTGTGGCAGATGTGGCGTGGTTCATTCCTGCAGGGAGGGAGGGTGGCAGTGTCCCCTCTGCTGTCAGTGGCCACTGGAGGGGGCCTCTCCGGCGCTACAGGTGGATGGCTGTGACATCTGTGGGAGTGCTGGTCTGGCTGGGCCCCTGGCTGCTGGAGCCTCTGGGGGCTTTGGGGGCTGGGCTGGGGGATGTATGGGCGGCTTCCCTGAGGCTCTCCCTGAGTGCAGCTTCAATCTGCTCCTGACAGGCCCGAAGGCAGTCCTGGGAACAAGGGGCAGTAGTGAGAAGGGACTGGGTGAAGTGGAGGAAGGTCCCCTTGGAGCTAAAGGTCCACTTCCCTCTGCCCCAGCATCTGGCAAGCAGGTGCACGGGATGGACACCTCCCAGCATACAGGGAAGTCTGGGGAGGTTAGGCCACAGCCCAGCCCCAGGAATCAGCTTTCAATTCTCAGAAACTGGCAAGAGGATGTGGCAAGAGGGTGTGAGAGCAGCCTTGCATCTGACACCAAACCCCCCGCCCCCACCCCTGCACACCATTTGGCAGAAAAGAGCGATGAGGGACGGTGCCCTTCAACACACCCAAGACCACTTGCTCTTCTCCAGATGAGGCAGGGGATAAAAGGCCACAGAAGCCCCAAGGGCAGGACAAGGGAAACCTGGAGTGGGGACCAGGTTGGAGGTGGATGCCTCCCTCTACTGGAGGCTCAGGGAATAGCGGTGCTTCATGAATTGACAGGCTGCTGCCCAGCTGCCCACACTCACCACTTCAGTGCCGGTGATCCCTGCCAGCAGCTCTGTGAGCTCATCTCCGGATGTGGACCAGGCACCCAGGCCTTGCACTGCAGCCCCAATGCTGCCGGTGGCAATCATGGATGGCGGATACATGGCAAAGGTGTAATCTTGGGAAGAGGAAGAGAGAATCATGAGGCAAGGAGAACATCAAGAATAACAGCCACGGTGAACTTCCTTTCCCTCAGAAAATGCCAGGCAGCATGAACAGAGCAGGGGGCATACTGGAAAATGCTAGCAGTGAGTAGTGTCAGGGGCAAGGGAGAAAGAGGTCCCCTCCTAGAGGGTCAGGGTCAGGTCCAGGGTAGTGCTTAAGTGAACCTGGCCAAGAACCTGGTGTGGAAACAAAACTAGGGTCAAGAGACCTGGGTTCTGCTCCCAATTTAATCACCACGGAACCTTGGGCAAGTCATGTCTCTCTGAGCCCTGAGTCCCCACCTACATATGTAGTGGGGGTCTCTAAGATCCTATACAGCTCTGACTGTGCTCTGCGTCTTCTCTGCACTGAAACGGGGGGCCCAAAGGGGATATACTTTTCATAAATTTTGAAAGGCATATAAACCAGAATCTCCTAGTTACTTCTGACCCTGATTTGGCAAAAATGTGCCTAGAGATATTACCTGTAGCACAGAGGGCCAAAAAGGTCTGAGCATGCTTTTTGACCAAGGCCTGTCGGTCACTGGGCAGAGACAGCCGGTGCAGGATCAGGGCCAGGAAATCATGGGCAATCACAGCAGCCAGGTCCCACTTGAGCTTCCCCAGGACCAGCACCTCCCAGTCCTAGAGATTGGAGAAGAGGGTGGGGTCAGTGTCTGAAGAAGGGAAGGGAAGGGAAGGGAAGAGAATAAAGCAGGAAGCCCATAAAACTTGAAGGTAAAGACCCTAGTTCTGCTTCTGGATTTAGGGACTGGCACTGTGGAATGGGGAGTCCAGGGCAGGGAAGAGCTGGGGACATTTGCTTTGAGCATCTATTCATCATTTACTAGATGCCAGACTACATGCTATACACGAATTGTCTTTTAATCTTGTTTGGTTATCTTGGGGCCAATAATATAGACCTTCTCCTGACTTCATCCAGGGCTCTGAGCCCTTCTCTAGCCAGGGTTGAAAGAAAAGACTGCAGCAACAGATACCACCAGCATCTCCATGAACCTGAGACTCCTTTGGGGTAAAGCAGACTATAATCCCAAGGATTCGTGGAAAGGAAAATCACCACTAGCCTCTCCCCCAACTCTGCATCCCAGCCAAGCCTATACCTCTTGAAGAAACCGGGGTAAGCATGAAGCCACACCACCTCTGATACAGCCACTGAACCAACCCTGAGGTTCCTCAAAGGGGAGGGTTGCCCAACCCAACACAACCCACATCCCCTTGGTGGGACATCAGGGTTGGGTCCTGAGATATAACACCCTACTCCATCCCCTGTAGCTGGAACCCATAGTGCCTAGTGCCATTTGAGTCTCAGAGATGTGGAGGCCAAGCCAAGCAGGACGGGTCTGGATGATCCCTGAAGGACCGAATCCTATCTCCACCTGCACACGCCTGCATACTCCTGTTACGTCCTAGACAGAAGCTGAGAACCCCAGCCCAATCCACTCATCTGGAGTTCCCAGTCCTGGCCCCGTTTCTGAGTTGCACACATGAGGATTTCTTCATTGTTTTATCTCAGGAAGGAACTCGTGGGTTTGACCCCTTACTGAGACAGAAATGGCAACCCCACCCAACCTCTTCCAGGCCCCCGCCTGGGTGTCATCCTCCCAAATCAGCCCCAAGCCTCACAGGGCCCCACAGAAAACAGCCTGGCCTGGAGCCAGAAGTCGGCAGAGAAGCTAGCATTTTACTCCTGGTGCCTGTCCCAGTGGCCACACTCCTAACTCAGAAGTGAAGAGAAAGCACCTCGCCTCCAAGGAAACATCTGGAAGGCAACTTGGAGTGGGGCTCCCCCTGTGGGGAGGCATGGGGTCCTGTGTGAGGGAAGGTGGCCACTCTACCCTGTATCCGGGCAACCGGAGAATCTTAGCCCTAGTTTGGCAGAGAGCATGCCCCTGGGAGGAATGAGCTGCTGCGGCTGGCAGCTCCCATCACCTCCCCAGCCTTAAGGCCACCTGGGCCAGCCAGAAGCCCCAGATTCTCTTCATCTGCTTCAGTGCTGCGGAGGCAGGACCCTGCCTGCCCTCCTCTCGGCCTCAGCCTTCTCTGCTTCACGAGGATCTGGACTGATGAGCTCTCTGAGGTCCCGTCCAACTCTGACCTTCTAGGAAACCACCTGCACGCTCCGCCCCCAGCGCAGGCAGAGGGAGTGAGGGGAACAGTACTTTCTGCCTGTTCTGAAAAACTGCCCTCACACAAAGGCACACATACCATCCCAATCTTTTCACAAAAAAAGGAAGTCCCCTTTTACCTTCTAGCCCAAACCCCTCCAAAAACATCTTTCCCGCTGGCCCTGGAAACCAGCTCCACCTTGAGACTTGCCAAAAACTACCAGATTCATCACAAAGAGCTGTGGGGCCTCCCAGATTCCCAACTCCGGCCTCCTACTCCCATCTCCGAGAGCTACTTGGCAGGAAGAGGAATCCTGTTCCTGGACAAGCAGCAGTCGGGGGCCCCAGTACCCTGGCTTCCTGGCCAGCCAATCACAGCAGCCTGCATGCTGCCCTCCTCCCCGGGAGATGGGGCCCAGAGACTCCTCTCAGGGTCAGGAGAAGACTTGGCAGTGTAGAGCAAGGTTGAGGAAGGTGCCTGCTCACCCACCCTCTCCCCCAGGCCCCCCAGGAGATGCCCCAGATAACCTCTTCCAGATCCAAGCAGCGCCCTCACCTCTCCAGGCTTTGGGAAAAGAGAACTGGTAACTTTCCTGCCCTGCCTCGGAAGAACCCAGCCCAAGTTCCCAGCAAGAGGCCCAGGGAGCCACTTCCCAAACCACAGGACTGACAGCAGCTCCCCACAGGGTTATGAAAGACCTTGGTCAGAGTGGGCGGGCCAGGGGAGGGGGCATCATTATCACATAGGAAGCAGCTGCAGCTCAGCTCCCTGTCTGTCCCTTAACTCAGCCTTTGGCTAAGGGGGAAAGGGAGAGATGATTCCACCAGGCCTGAGGCAGCTGCTCAAGTTCCTCAGAATGAGGATTAGGAAGGAGCTTTCTCTTCTGGGATGTACTAGGAAGGAAAAAAGGTGGGATGAAACTCCTTAGGCCCTTCCTTAGAGCAATCAAGGGCTGGGCTTTAATCTGCTCTGGGAGTCTTTTCAATCACAAAGTCCACACTGGGATAAAGACTCACCCAAAGCAGGCCCCCTCCCCCACAAGAAGCACATTCCACTCCCCCACTCCAGTGGGGGTGTGCAGACATGTCCTTCTGCAGCCAATAAATAACTCATGATGGTTGTGTAAACCCAGAGGCAAAGTACTAGTGAGTGTAGACATGCAGTTTGACTTGTTGCTATCTGGGGGAAAGACCAAGAGAAATGGCACCCCCTGGAGGTCAGGAAATGGGGAGTTAGTTCATGCTGGCAGCTTAAGCCTGGGCTGGGGTTTCTCTAACCATTACACTTTACTGCCCCACCTTTTGTCCAAATATATAATCTCTGCGGTCCTGAACCCTCCCCAAGGGGAGGGGGGCAGGAAGCCTCTGAAGTCTTAGCATTCCTTTTCCTGGAGAGGAGGCAGTATGTGTTGGGGGTGAGGGGGTGGGCGGTTGGTTATGCACGCACCCGCATCTGGCGGGGAGAGACAGCGTGGTCGGTGTAGATGCACAATTTTTCGATGGTCAGGGGAGTAGTTTCGCGCAGCTTGGAGGCTAGCAGCATGCAGACCGCACCCAGGAGCTGCAACTGCGCCTTGTGGGTGGGGACACAGGACAGGTAGCGATCCAGGTAGTTCATGGCCAGGGGGAAGACTTCCTCCTCACAGCGCTGCTCCTCACATACCTGGGGGGGGAGGACACAGAGTCACTTCTGGGCAGGGGCGTGGGAAGCACAGCAGCACTAAAGGTGAAAGGGGGGCGCTGAAAGGAAGCGGGACGGGGAGCAAAATGTAAAAATGACTTACAGTAACAAGGACTAATACGGAGGATGCGCTTACCCCAAGACGACGCCCCCTCCCACTTCCTCCGTGTTGCCCCCCAACCAAGGGAGGTACAGCAGAGGCTCTCTTACGAAGGACTCCACACTGAGACTCCCCTCCCCCACGGGGAGCCCAAGGGCCACCCACGGTAGCCAGAGAACTGGGACCTTACCCCCGTTACCATCACCCGCTGCACACACCCAAAGGGAAGGGAGGAGACTCCTGCCGCTGCCTCCCGCACTTTTCATTTCCCTGATCGTCCAACAGCGCGCGCACCACCCCCACAGCCTTCCCCGCCAGAACCCCGCGACAGACGCAAGAACCGGCTCTGAGGCGGGGGCGGCCGAGCCCAGGGTTTTCCAGGCGCGCTCTCCTAAGAAAACGGGGTGGGGAAGGAAAGCAGGAGACGCTAGAAAAGCCGGAGGGGAGAAGGCGGACCCTGTCCCGCTTTCCCGGCCGAAGAGAGGATTAGTTAGGGTGCCAAACCACTGGCAGTCAGAGTCGGGGTTGGGGAAGGGAAAAGGAGACGCAGCCGGCTAGGGTGGCGCGTGAAAGGCCAGGCCCGGGGGTCTGGGCCCCCGTAGCATCTCGCTGATGGTTGCTGAGACCAGGATGTCCCAACAGGGCGGCCCCGGGATGTCCGGAGCCGAGGACGCAGGGACGGCGGGGGAGGGGTGACCCGTCCAGGCAATACCTCCAGCATCCAGTAAGCCAGCATCTTCCGCATGTGCGGCTTGATCTCCCTCTGCACGCACTGGAAGTAAGAGGCGCGGGGCACGTAGCGCTCCTCCAGGCGGAGCAAGCTCTGCAGGACACGCTGGTCCCCCAGCAGCCGCGGGTCCGGCCCGGCCCGGGGCGCGTGCCGGGTGCCCTCGCAGCACAGCAGCTCCATACTTGGGCAGCGCACGGAAGGACGAGAGTGCGGGCTCGCAACCCAGAACGCAGGCGGCGGGCCGGAGAGAGCGGGGCGCGGGTCTGGAGCTGGTGCTGGCACTGCGCGGTGGAGCCCCGGCCCGCCTGCGTCGGCGCGCGCGCCGCTTCCCTGACAGGCGCCCCGCCCCTCGCGACGGTGTAGCAACCGTGGAATGCTCTAACGTCACACGTTCCAAGGGGCGGGGCCGCCGGCGCCCCAGACGGAAAGGGCTGGCGGGCGCCCCCTCCCCCCCGGCGGCCACATTGGTTGTCGGGCGCGGGCCGGCCGGCTTCCGGTCGCCCCGCGTTTTATGACCACCCGGTGGAGAGAGCTTTCCAGGAGGTGGTCCTCTCCCCCACCAACGTGCCCTCCCATCTTGCCTCTCTGACATTAGTCGCCCAGGAAAAAAAACTTTTCTCCAAAGGTTATTCATTCATTGGTCAAACCCTAATTCACCCGCGCTTGCTCTAGGGAATAGGAAAACGGATAAAATTACTCGTTCTTAGCGAACACGGTTCTAAGCACTTAACGCGCCATAGCTTACTAGATCCTCACAAAAACTCCGTGAGTTCGGTATTATACTTATTTTGCAGATTAGAAAACTGAAGCACACTAACAGTCATCAGTCTGTGGCAGAGCTGGGATTGGGAAGCCAGCAGTCTGGCCCCAGAATCTGTGCTCTGCACCATCGGTACCCCATTGCGGCCCGTTAATGCTGTGATGGCAAAGCCCGCACCATCTGCATCACCTAAACGCCGGTGAGAAATGCAGACTCTTAGGCCGACGCCTGACCTGCAGGATCAAAATCTGCATTTCAACAAGACCCCCCGCCGGGTCCTGGCCACATGAAAGTATGAGAAGGCCTAGTCCAAATCAGCACATTACAGAAATACAACAGGGCGGAAAGGCCACGGATTCAAGGCCTCACCTTGTCATTAAGTCTGCTCTGTGGCCTTGGATGAGCCCAGAAAGTCGGCCTTAGCTTCTGTTTGAGGAAAACGTGGGTGGAGAAACTAGATCCTCTCTGAAGGAGTTTCTTGCCCAGACTCTATAAAATCTTCCAATTGCCATTTCTTCTACCTCCCAAACTTTGGGTTACTTTGTAGTTTCCCCAAAGCTGGATTCCACGTGACTAAGAGGCAGACCACAAGCCTCCAGTAAGGCTCCCAGTGGGAAGAGGCCTTGGGGAATTCCTGCCTCTCCTGAGGTCCTCCTTGATAGGAACGGACACTAATAAGAGGCAAGTTCTGTGCTAAACATTTTCTCAATGAGAAAATTATTTTTGTATATAATACATTTTACTGTTGTTCTAATATCATGGAAATATTCATTTGCATTGTAAAGAACTTAGAAAATTCAGCCCTGGCTGGTTTGGCTCAGCGGTTAGAGTGTCGGTCTGTGGTCCAGAGAGACCCAGGTTCGGTTCCCACTAAGGGCTGGTACTTTGGTTGCAGTTTGTCCCCGGTCCTGGTTGGTCGTGCGGGTGGCAGCCACTCAATGTGTCCCTTTCACGTCGATGTTTCTTTCTCTCTCTCTTCCTCTCTCTCCCTCTGACTCTGAACAAAATCGGAAAAATGTTCTCGGTGAGGATAAAAATAAATAAAAATAAAAAATAATAAAATTCAATGGAAAAATATCCTCAGGTGAGGATTAAAAAAAGAAAAGAACTCTTCCAACTGGAAAGATGAAAAGTAATTTATTAGTAATAAAATTTATATGTTATTTGTTTTAAATTCAAGAGCTCCCATTGTGCCAACATGAATGTGTGCCATGCACCTTATCTAACTTGTAAATCTTTCACTCCTATCTTCCAAAATACAAATATGAAGTTTTAGTTAATTAATCATAAGATTGTACTCTTTCATTAAAGAGAATAATATATTTTAAACTATAAAGAATGATATGAAGTTATGGGGACACAAAGATGTTGACATGTAAGACGTTGTCAGAGTGCAGGAGGACTAAAAAATGTAGCTTTTGAAGTAAGTACACAACCAGAAACCAGATCTGTCCTGAAGGAAAGTGTTTCTTTACTCTCAGAATTATTGTTCAGGTTAGAAGTTTATCTTTGATAAGAAAGTAAATCATTATTAAAATTTTTTTTCCAGTTTTACTGAGGCATAATTGACATATATATCAATTGTATTAGTTTAAAGTATACAACATGATTGAACATGTATATATTGCCAAATGATTACCACAATAAGTATAGTTGACAATTTTTTTCTTGTAATGAGAATTTATTTTAAAATATTTATTGAATTTATTGGGGTGACATTGGTTAATAAAATTATTTAGGTTTCAGGTGTACAATTCTATAATTATGATGAGAATTTTTAATATCTACTCATTTAGCAACTTTTCAAATGTACAATACAAAACCGTTAACTATCATCACCATGTTGTACATTATATTCCCAGAACATATATATATTTATCTTATAACTAGAAGTTTGTATCTTTTAACCACCTTCATCCATTTTGCCCTCTCCTCAATCCCCACCTCTGACAACCACCAATATGTTTTCTGTTTCTCAGTATGGATTTTTATTTATTTATTTTTATTATTATTTTTTTTTAATCCTCACCCGAGGACATTTTTCCATTTTTTGCACAGATAGAGTGGGAGGGAGAGAGCGGAAGAGAGAGAGAGAGGGAAACATCAATGTGAAAGGGACACATCGAGTGGCTGCCACCCGCACGACCAACCAGGGCCGGGGACAAACTGCAACCAAGGTACATGCCCTTAGCGGGAACCGAACCCGGGTCTCTCCGGACCGCAGGTGGATGCTCTAACCGCTGAGCCAAACCGGCCAGGGCTCAGTATGGATTTTTAGATCCCACATATAAGTGAGAGCATACAGTATTTGTCTTTCTCTGTCTGACTTATTTCACTTGGCAAGTTCCATGCATGTTGTTGCAAATGGCAAAGTTTCCTTCTTTTTAGGGCTTAATCATATTCCATTGTATAGATATCCCAAGTTTTCTTTATGGAGAAAGAAAACTGGTAAGATGAAAAGTAGTTTACTAGTAATAATATTTTTATACTTTATTAGACATTTACATTTCTTATGAAAATCATTACGTATTATGCCCTTTGCCCATTCTCTTATAGTACTGCTTGTTATTCTTATTGATGTGCTCTTACATTTTAAGGGTACCCTTTTCCATATTTTTTTCTTTGTCATATAGCTTACACATTTTTTTAGTTCACTATTTGCCTATCATTTTTTGGTTCATGGCAGATTTCTTTTTTTCTAACAAATATAAAGTACTTTATATTTATGTAGCCTTCTTTAATGATATTTTCATTAGTGATTTCTGCCTTTGAATCATGCCTTTCCACCCTAAAATTATACAATTACTAGAAGAAAATGTAGGAAATACTTATAGATTATTTATTTATACAAGGGAGCTGGTTGAAAAAGCAGATTTATGGGCCCTGCTTTGGGGCTTTTCATTCTCAAGCCTCTGTGATGAGGCCCCCAAAATCTGCATTGTCAAGAGTTCACACAATAAAGGTTTTTTTTTAATGTGTAAATTGTTACCTCCATTTATTCGGTGTATCATATTAAGTGAGGCTCTATTTACTTTTCCCCAATTATCAACCAATATATCCCATGGCACTGATTAAACAATCTGTTCTTTATTTCATTCACCTCCCTGCTATAAGCATCCCTGGGTCTGGTTCCTGCATCTTGGATGATGCCTTATTTTGGTCAT